AAGTATTTGTATCTTTTTTTTAATGAATAAAAACTGAATTTATTACACACATTTATATACGATTTTTTTGTTCTTATAATTACAGAGAAAACGTGGGATTAAAAAAACTTGCTCAACCGTAACAAAAAAAAATACGTATTGAGTCGATGCAGACATATAAACACAAGGTACACCTCCAAGTTTGTTTCCCTTGGTTGTTGTTGATTTGATGTGCACGTTTACATAGTTACATGCAATGACGTTTATTTTGAAAGTATTGTTGGAAATTAACCATTTTTTCTATGGGTTTTTTTCCCTCTGAAATAATATTCAACTTGGCTTTGTTTCTTTGTTTCAATGAGTAATTATGTTGTTCATGTAAAGAATATATGAATAATCATAATATGTTGATACTAATGTTTTCCCTTGTCAAGCTGGCAATATTTTTCTCTCCTCTGCTCACCAATCTTATTTAACAACATAAAAGATTTTTATTAATTCATTGAATAAATTAAAATCAAGTATTTAATACTGTGAAATAATTATTGGTTTAAAAAGATAATCACAAACGAAAAAAAACTACTTAATCAACAATACTCAGTGATAGAAAAAAAATATTTTCTGAATATTATTCATTCCATATATAGATTTAAAATACAAAAATAAATAAAATTTCTCATTTTTATGCATTTAAATATATTCCAATAGAATAAATATTAATTAAAAAGTATGGATAGTGAAAAACAAAACATTATCTCATACTAATAGAGAAAGAACGTTTCACATAAAAATGACGATAGATCAGATTTCAATTATTTAGATAAAAATATTCTTTTCAAAATATTCGAAATATCTAGACTAATTTAACATGAATAATCTTTATAGATTTTGAAAAACTAATGTTACAATAATCACAATATCTTTTAACAGTCTATAAATTAAAATTGAATATATACATGTTTTTATTTGAGACGAAGAAAAACGATAGAAATCTTGATTAATGAATCAAAAAAATTACTCATTCTATTTGGTCAAAGTAAGGGCATAACGGAAAATAATTTTCAAACATGTATTATAAACAATTTGGAATATCTGTCGACATTTAACTTATAAATCTTCTATTGAAATATGAAACACGATAGAAGTGTTCATGATATCAACTACAGGGTGTCCAGAAAATCATTGACCAAAAGTTTTTTCATATATCTTTCATGTTTCATTTAATATTATCAACAAATTTTTTTAAAATTATAGACAAATATACCGAGTTTTTATTTATACGAGCGACTTTCGATACTATTCTGCAAAACTATTACGTTTGATCGAAATACAAAAATTTTGCTATTTTTGTGAGAGCGAGTAGAACATTATGCAGTGTCTTTGTTTTTGTAATTATTTAGTCTTTCTGTAGTAGTTCTCTGTAAGTTTTGGTTCAAAGAAAAGGTGCAACAAATTTTCAATATACATAATTTTGTAGAACTCCACAAACCCTATCTAACCACATGAAAATATGAAAGAAAAAAGCATCATCAAATATTGAACCAGTCTCATTTCACAAAAGTAGGAAAATATTTGTATTTCGATAAAAGGTAATAGTTTTGCAGGATAGTATTGAAAGTCGCTCGTAGAAGTAAAAATTCGGTATATTCGCCTATAATTTAAAAAAAGAATTTGTTGAAAATATTAAATCAAACAGCAAAGATATATAAAAAAACTTTTAATCAATGATTTTTCGGACACCCTGTAGATGAAAGACACATTCTAATTTATATTTCATATAACATATAATTATGATAAGAAATGATTGTATGTATATGAAGAAAGACACTTGATAACAAATATCATGTAACTTTAAAGATGTTGAGAACAAAAATCTCTTTATTTTTTGTCCTTTTTGTTGTGGGAGATTTTCAATCATACATTCAAATTGGATTTGAACTACAATATTCTATAATGTAGAATAATCACATATACTGTTCTACTTTGGAAAAATTATTTTTGAAAATATCTTTAAAAACATCAGATAAAATTTATATTCAACTATTTTTGATCCTCTAGAATATTTTCAAGGTAGCGAAATTTTTAACAGGCATCATGGACTCATATAACTATTATACAATCGGGAAAAGCAACATTCCTCGTGTAACATTAGAAAATCAAGCGTGCGAATAATTTTTGTCGCAGCAGCATTATCAATGAAGAAATATATTTTATTATGCTTTACGCCTTTTTTAAGTTCAGAAGTAAGAAGATTATGCTAGATGAGCTCCATATTATTTCAGCAAGATGGAAAGTGTGGGTATGAGTGAGAATAGATTATACCATACATGCACATCCAAAACGTTTTGCTGCCGTAATGTTCATTATTGCGGGGAATGGGAAGAGGAGTGGAGGGAAGACAAGATACACTTGTATAAAACTTAATTGTTATCTCTAAAAACTTAAACTTGCGCTGCTCATGGAGATATTTCATTGTAAATTTTTATGTCATGCATTACTTTACATCGTTATAAATAATTTAATAAGTTTTGATCTGTTGGAAGGATAAAGTTTTAAACCATGTATTCTTATTGAAATTCTATTTTTATAAACGAAGTCTTTTTCTTTAAAATCACAAGTTTTATCTAAACAAATATTTATTTCACTAATGAATGCCTTTGTTGTGATCATAACAAATCAATGATTCATTGGTTGCTTAATATATTTTATGTTTAGAAAAAAAAAAAAAAAAAAAATAGTTCGAATGTATACGCTTCTATTAGTAAGTTTGGTAGCTTTGATATGAATAACCATATGAAGTTCCATATCCACCACCATAACCGCCACTACCTCCAATTCCTTCAAAACCTCCAATTCCAAAAGTACCTCCTACTCCAGGATAACCTCCAGTAACTTGACCCCATGTTGGATTTGGATTTCCACCCATCATATTATCATAGTATTCACCC